GCAGCGGCGGCCAAGCGGTGGGTTACTTAATGACCCCAAGCCAAACGACCTACAGGGAGGCGGGAGGTACGGATTCAGTGCTGTAAACTGTGAAAGAGAAATGGCCGGGCGCAAAGAAAGAGATGAGGAGAAAGCATCGCTGCTGATGGCAGCAACCCAACTGCAACAATTCGCTAACCCAAGCCAAACAAGAGAATAGCTACATATGAATGTATTTATGTTTGTACCTCTCTGGGATATGCAAATCCATTCATTCGCTGATTACTTTCGATTGCTGTACTGTGGAAAGGTTGAGTTGATGCTTTCGGCTGCCTTATTCAGAGACTCATTCACGGTGTCTGATTTGATTTGATTCGTTTGCATATGAATTAACATGGAAACTGTATAGATTGTTGCACTGATTGGCATTAAATTAAATGCTAGACAAGTAGATTTTTGTATCGTCACATGACCAGTGACCAGCAGGGACATGTCCAGCAGCACTGAGCACTAAACTCACTACCTTTTGTGTAATAACTTATCACCACGCGAAAAAAACCTGCGCACAGACTGTATATACATATGTATGTCCTCGCGAACATATTTCTAAGCGAAATTACAACGAAAAACGTTTTAAAATGCAACGATCCTCGCGGAATTGTTTTCCTTGCCGGCACTCTCGATTCACAAACCATCTTAGCCATGTTACACACCACCACACTGTTGCTTTCGTTTTACAACACTTGGCCAATCAGCTGGTGGACTCCCGCGACTTTTAACAAATTTAGCGCCAAAACACAAACAATCACATTAGTGTGCGTTTTCACATTGTTTTGAGTTACACTTCTTTTATTTTTAACAAAGTGACCCAGAAAGATGAGCGAAACGGTTGCAGAAACTGCAGCAGCAGCAGAAAATGACGAGCAAGAAGACGACTCAATGGAAACGCTGCAAGTGGAGGAGGAAGACGAGAAAAATATTTCCGCTGAAGATTTGCTGGGTGGCAAGAGTCTAATGGTGTCGGACAGTGAAAATGAAGAGGAACCGAAGCTGGCGTCCAAGAGCAGGAGGCAGCGATTGCTGGACAGCGATGAGGAGGAGCAAAAGGAGGAGAAATCTGTGCAGGAGAAGGACGAGGAGCAGGCAGCGGCACAGATATCGCCCATATCCAGCAGACAGCGTCTGCCAGACAGTGAGGAGGAAGTTGATGTTGTTCCCGATAAGGCGGAGGAGCAAATCTCTTCACCGAAATCCAGCAGGCAGCGATTTGCAGCCATTGATGAGGACGATGAGGAGGAGATGGCGCCCAAGTCGAGGAAGAAGATTTCTGCGCTCATCGATACGGACAGTGAGGAGGAGCCGCAGATGCGCGAGGAGCAGAAGCAGATGTCAGAGGAAGAGCCACAGATGAGCGAGCAAGAGGAGCAGCCAAAGAAGCAAAAGAAGAAGCTGTCAAAGAAAAAGAAACAACGAATGGACAGCGAGAGCGACGGGAACAGCGACAGCCACGACGAACCCGAGAAAGAACAAAGCGAAGAGGCAGCCACTCCCCCAAAGAACAAATTCAAAGGTTTAGTGGACTCGGAGTCCGAGCCAGAGCCAGGCAATGCATCCGGCGCAGAGCAGGAGAATGCCACGGAAGGGCATGCCGATAAACCCAAGAAAGCAAAGGCCATGCGGGTGAGTTTTCCACGCTTAACCACACTGGAGCACACACTAACCCACGCTTACGCTTTTTTATATCCTTAGGCATCGGCCAAACAGGCGCTGGACAACATGCAGGCCATCCAAAGCGAGCAACAGCGACTGCATCGCGAGGCGCACATCAGTGTGCCCTACCATCAGCCCAAGCCGAGGACACTGAAGGAGTTCCTTAGCCGCCGCACCATCAATACGCCGCTGGCCACGGCTCTGGCAGGCGGCAGTCCTATGCCCAGCAGACAGCCCAGAAAATCGTTGGGCCTGCGCATGAATCGAGAGGAACTGGAGGCATATGCGTGAGTGGCAGAAGAAAGCAAAGAAAAACTCAATTAAATTTGTTTAATTTGCAGCAAATTAATGGAGGAGCGCGCCAAGGAGGCCACAGAGTTCTTTAAGTCCGAATCGGAGGGCGAAGAATCAGACGAGAATGAAGCGGCGACTGCTGAGGAGATGACAGATAAGCCTGAGGTGATGGATGCTGCGGCGACTGTGCCAGAAATCTTGGACAAAGTGGAGCAACAGGCAAGCGAAGAGAGCACAGCAGAACTCCCAATGGAGCAGCAGCAGGAGGAAGAGCAGGAGATAGAGCCTGTGGCCTCCACCTCCGCCGCCGCAGCAGCTGCTTTGAGGTTCGCGCAGATCAACGAATATCTGCCACAGCCAGAGGTGCGAGAATGTCTCGTCACGGAGGTGCTGGAGCTGCCCAAACTCGATTTGAGCACAATAACTGCCACAACGCCGCCCTCCAAGCCTGCAACGCCGCGCGTAAGCGAGGCCATAAGACGCCTGAAGATCGAGAAGAGCGCGGATGTGAGTCCCTCGTTGAGGGGCGATGCCACAATGCTGATTGATCTGGAGACGGGCGACATGTTTGCCAGGAAACCCACGGGGGTGGATGATCTGCTGCAGCGACTGATGAAAACGCGCGAGGCCAAGAAGCACAAGGCCACGGAGACAGTCAAGTGAGTAGAGAATCAGCAGCTACCCATCGAACATCCCCTCCTAACTTTCGCTTTTCCCTCTGCAGCATTTTGTCCACGGCGCATGGCAAACTGGAAATGTCCAAGGTGAACATTCAGCTGCATGAGGAGGAGCCCGTGCACAAGGATGCGGCGCCTGGTGCGGCCTATGCCAAAATGCAGGAACAGCTCAAGTCGCGCATCACGCAGAAGCGGGTGGAAGAGCTGCGCAAAAAGCAGGCAGAGGAAGAGGAACGGGAAGCAGAAGATGACGAAGAGCTGGGCATGGATGTGGATGAGGAGGAGTACGAACCGGAGGAGAAGCCTTGCGCGAGTCAAGTGCACATCAATGAGGATGAGGAGATAGTGGAGGAAGCTGCAGCTGCAGCTGCAGAGGATCTACTGCCATTGGACGAAGAAGTGGAGGAACTCGCAGCTGACTCATCAAGCAGCAGCGAAAGCGAGCCAGAGGAGCAGCAACATGCAGCGGGCAAGAAGCGAAATCGCATCATCAAAGCCTTCCCGGATGAGGACAACTCGGATGAGGATGACTTGGATCTGCTGCAGACGCCGAAGCCACCCAGCAATGCCACACCCATGACGGCCACGCAGCTGCAGCTGTCCGCGCACAAACTCTTCGATGCGGAGACTCGCCGCACGGCCAGCGACGAGGAGAATGAGCTGCTCGATCTGTGCTCTGGACAGTTTCCGCAGTCCCAAATGGTGTCCTCAGCAGCTCCCTCGATGGACACGGCGTTGATCAGTCAGATTCCCATGACACAATTTGGATTGGGCAGCAGCCAGGCGCCCGAGGAACTGGAGGCGCTGTGCTCGGGCAGCTTTGCGACGCAGCAGCAGCCGGAACACCCTGAAGAAGTCTCCCAGCCCCAGCAGATAGCCAATAAAATTGTGTCCAGCGATGAGGAGCAGCAGCAGCTGGCAACGGCCAAACCGCGCAACAAAAAACTCACCAAGAAGAAGCCCAAAAAGCGTGCCTTGGGCTTCTCCGATGACGAAGAGAGCGAAGTGGAGGACTGCGACGAGGAGTTGGAGGAGGAGGAGCAGCAGCTGGAGGAACCCCTGGAGGAGATACCCGAAACCTTTGTCGACTACGACTCAGAGGAGAACGAAATCCTAGTGGAAATGACCAAAAAAGATCGCAAATTTCGCGCCAACAACTTTGTGGAGAAGGAGGCGGAATTGTCCGAGTCCGAGTGGGGCTCTGCCGATGAGGATGAGAATAATATGGACACCTACGACATCGAGCTGGGCGATGAGGATGAGTTTGATAAGGAGAAGCTGCGCAGCGAGCTTGGACAGATTCATGCGTAAGTGCCAGGCATGGGGACAGAGCCATAATACAAATTCTCTCATGGGTTTTTTCTTCCTTTTTACAGCCGCAAAATGCTCGACCAGGACATACGGGAGGTGCGCAAGATCAAGGAAATGTTGTTCGAGGACGATGAGGGCGCCGTGCGACAGCGTCAGTTTCGCTGGAAGAATGTGGACACTGGCTTCAGCCTGGAGGATCAGCAGCGCACGGAGAATGGCGGCGAGGGCAATGGCGAGGGCAGCGGCGATGAGGAGAACGAGCACATGTGGCGCAAGATTCGCTACGAACGGGAGCAGCTACTGCTGGAGAATGGCCTGAAAGCGGTGAGTGGAAGATCAGCTATCCTCTGGTACACCTTTTGCTCATTCTGTACCCTTTAGGAGGCTGCCACACCGCTATCTCCTGCAGGCAACGCGTTCCGCAGGCTGAACATAATCACAGCCAAAAAGACCACTGTGGAGGCAAAGAAGAGCTCGCCCTTCCTGATCTCAAAGGGCATGACTGGCGCACAGCAGAGGAGCAGCGTACGCGGCTCGTTCCTGGTGCGGGACAGCGAGACGCTCAGCAAACTCGCAGGAATGACCAAGGGACGCGCTGGCCAAGACGGAACGGCAGGGACTGTTCCCACGAAGGCGGCCAACTCCAAGCACTTTGTGTTTGCCACACTAACAGAGGAAGAACACGAGGTAAGAGACTCCCTCAGTAATTCTTTCCAGCCTTTTATTGTATTTTGCTCTCCTTGCAACAGAATCAAAAACGCAAAGCGGCGGATTTGCTCAACAGCAGCAGCGAAACGGGTGTTAATTTCATGAAGAAACCACGCCTGGAGCCACGTCGGGAGAAGTGCCTTATCGATCAGCTTCTTTAATATATAGTTTTGTTCTTAAATTAGCCCTAAATTATGATTAGCAAAATAGTCTTTTAAGTCGTTTTAAATAAAATCCACATTTCCATTAAGCGCACTTTACAACACTGATCTAGTATGACCGTATTTCGATACGCTCAAAATAACGCAACCACTGAATTTGTTTACATGTGTGAATGTAAACTAATTTTTATGGGAAAGTTGTATGTGAATATGTGTTAATTACACCGTCTCTGTGCATTCCGGGAGCAGCGCAAAACCTCTGCTTCGACGCCCAAAAACACTCCCACCTTGTCTAGTCGCGTGCGGGCGTCGTTAAGTTAATCTAATCTAAGGAAAACCAGACAGTCCATGCCCAGCGACTGCGCTGCCCCTCGGGCCTAAAAATTGTAAACTGTACGAAGCCGGCTGGACAGCGGCGAAGCATTAAACATTTGCCAGAGGACGCCGCCGGACGCAGCTCAGCTCAGTGCATAATAATAATAAACAAATAGGCGACACTCCCCAATTACGAAACGACACAATGGTGGCCCCGTCGAAGCTGAGTCAAGTTTTTAGCTACCAAAACTGGGTGCATGCCGTCTCCGGTGCTGCCGTAAGTGCTTAAATATTTGCCGGTTAAAGTTCAAATGACGCTAATTTACATGTCTGTACTCTCTCATACAGGGTGGCTGCATAGCCATGAGCACCTTTTACCCACTGGACACGGTGCGTTCCCGCCTGCAGTGTAAGTAAATGAGGCACCCAATCTCCAGGGCTAAGATAAGCCAGACCGACACAGATAATATGTATAGTTAGTATATTGGGAGAGTTCAAACTTCAGCGAGAGGGGCCAGTTATCAATTTCCCGCCGGTCTAATCCAATTTTATGGATGATTGAGATATGGGAATGTGCACTGCTTTACCATCGAACGCTGGCCATGGGCCATGCTAGGGTTAATGTAAAACTGAGCAATTTCCATAGGGAGTCCAAGGTTCACTTTGCACCTAAATTTGATTTATTTCCCTTTTCTTCTCTTGCAGTGGAGGAGGCAGGTGAGGTGCGCAGCACTAAGCAAATGATCAAGGAGATTGTGCTGGGGGAAGGTTTCCTGTCGCTGTACCGCGGACTCGGACCAGTGTTGCAGAGTCTCTGCATTTCGAACTTTGTTTATTTCTACACATTCCATGCGCTCAAGGCGGTCACCTCGAATGGCGCACGTTCACAGCAGAGCGCGCTGAAGGATCTGCTGCTGGGCTGCATCGCTGGCATCATTAATGTCCTGACAACCACTCCCTTTTGGGTGGTCAACACGCGGCTGCGCATGCGCAATGTGGCCGGCACCTCGGATGAGGTCAACAAGCACTACAAGAGTCTCGTCGAGGGACTCCAGTATGTGGCCAAGACAGAGGGCTACGCCGGCCTGTGGTCGGGCACGATTCCCTCGCTGATGCTCGTCTCGAATCCTGCGCTGCAGTTCATGATGTACGAGCTGCTCAAACGCCACATTATGACCTTCACCGGCGGAGAGGTGGGAAGCCTGGGCTTCTTCTTCATTGGAGCCATTGCCAAGGCCTTTGCCACCGTGCTGACGTACCCCCTGCAGCTGGTGCAGACCAAGCTGCGTCATCGCAGCAAGGAGACAGCAGCAGCGCCCTCAACGTCCCGCCAGGCGTCGGGCCAACGCACTGAGAGCACGCTGCAGATGATGATCAGCATATTGCAGCACACCGGAGTGCGCGGACTGTTCCGTGGCCTGGAGGCCAAGATTCTGCAGACCGTGCTGACCGCGGCGCTGATGTTTATGGCCTACGAGAAGATATCCAGCACGGTGGGGCTGCTGCTCAAACGGAATGCATAGAGACGGGCGGGCAGGGGAGTCTAGTCTAGTCTACTCCATTTTTACTAATTTAAGTGACTTTGATACGGATCCGGACAGCACACACACACTCCAAAGCTAGCAATAAATCCAAGGAACAAATCTAAAGTACAACTTTTATAACATTTTATTCGGCATGCTGCACAGCAGGGGGAGAGGCTGTGGAGTCTACTGCCTCCACAGACTTCTCCTCAGACTTGCTGTCATTGTCGCCATTCGATTTCTTCTCGCTGGGGTTGGCCAGCTCTGCCAGATTGTACTTCTTGGACTCCAGATAGTTGTCAATGACGCTGAGCAGGCACCAGCCGCGCAGCACCTCCACAATGATCGATTTCTTGGCCTGCTTCAGGTCCACTTTGTTGCCCACGTTCTTGGAGTTGACCAAATCGGCCAGATCGAGTATTATTTGATCACGCTTGATCTGCTGGTTGTAGCGATGGTTGAATATGATGCCATAGCTGGTGGGTTCCTTCAGGAAATGTTTGTCAAAGAGCGGCCCAGCTGCGGCAATGATGTCCGGCATATTGGCGCGACAAACAGCCTCAATGGGCACCAGGCGCAGGACAAAGCGGGACATTGACTTGCCCGTGGTGGTTATATCGTTGACAATGTGCTTGCCCAGACCCACGGGATCGTCCAGCTGTGTGCGTATGAAGATGCAGTTGGTGGTGCCCGTTTCCACGTTCTGGAAGCGCACCTTGCGCTGCGTGAGAGTCTCGCGGCATTTGGCAGCAGCCGCCTCCAAGTCATCATCGTCGTCATCGTCGCTGACCTTTGCAGTCTCGCCAGCAGCTGCTGCTGCATCTTTCTGCTCTTCAGACTCCTTCTTTTCGGGCTCTTTTGGCTGCTCAGGGCCGTAGAGGATGTCCGCGTAGTGATTCAGTAGATTGTAGCATTCGCGCACGCAGCCCTTCTCATTGATGTTGCACGTGGCGAAGAAACCGCGCTGGCCGGCCTGCAGCACCTGCTTGTTGCCCTGGTAGTACTTCTTCTTGTTTTTCTGATGATATTTATTCGTCATTTTTGATTTTTTATTCGTCGGTTCCATCAAAAACTGCACATAAAAACAATTGTACCGGTTTACTTTGATTTGAGTGTGACCACAGAAATACCGTACTAACAGTGCTGTTAAAATTGGTAAACTCTGGCACTTTCCAACACCATGGACGGTCCGCTCTTGGAGCTGTTTCCCCGCTATGCTGACTTGGAAGATCTTCTTCAAAATGAACTCGAAGCGAGGTATATACTCAAAAAGGCAACAGAACACTTGGAGGGGATTAAGTCCAATGGCAAGGCGAGCGAGGAAGAGGAAATTCGATATCTGGTATGTGCGCTTGTGGACAGAAACTGGGAGCGGATACACACCGGACATTTCAGCAGCGTTCCTGTGACCACACGGAAAATCTATGCCATTGCGTGTTTCTTCAAGGTGGGACGTACACTCCCCTTTAGATGTATTCTAATGGTGTTCGTTACAGATATTCTTTCTACTCCTGGAAAGCACAGATCCAAGGCAAAAGGAAAAATGCAGTGGGATCCTGGACGAGGCGCAGCTGCTCGGCTGCACAGATGATTGGAATGACCTCAAGGCAGCTCTCATGGAATACCTGGACAAGGGCCAGGTGGAGACTTCAGAACCATTGCCCATTTTGGCAGCTGTAAAGAGGGTTACGTGCTCCTGTGACATACCCCAGCTGGATGCTCCTGGAATTAACGAATTTCAAACGAAATGTTTCCAGCCACAGCAGCCCACGCTGCTCCTGAACACCATTAGACACTGGCCAGCCATGGACAAGTGGCGGGACTTGAACTACCTCCTGCAAGTGGCGGGCAATCGCACAGTTCCCATAGAGATTGGCTCAAATTATGCGAGCGACGAGTGGTCCCAGCAGCTGGTCAAAATACGCGACTTTCTGCGGCGACAATTTGTTGACCAAAGTGGAGATGGACACCGGGAGATTGAGTACCTGGCTCAGCACGAGCTCTTTGCACAGATACCAGCGCTGAAAGCCGACATTTGTGTGCCCGATTATTGCACGCTGAGTGGTTCGCAGGAGACGCCTGCAGCTGTGGACATCAAGGCGTGGCTGGGACCAGCGGGCACCATTTCGCCCATGCACTACGATCCCAAGCACAATTTACTATGCCAGGTGTTTGGCTCCAAGCAGATTATTCTTGCAGCGCCCGAGGACACGCCGAATCTGTATCCCCACGAGAGCGAATTCCTTGGCAACACCTCGCAAATAGACGCCGCGGAGCTGGACTTGAAGACGTTTCCACTGCTGCAGAAAGTGCGCTTCTATAAGCTACTGCTACAGCCTGGCGATTGCTTGTATATGCCACCCAAATGGTGGCACTATGTGCGTGCGGAGACGCCAAGCTTTTCTGTGAGTTTCTGGTGGGAATAGAGACGAGAACCTCCCACTGGCATGGCCTATCTTTGTTACACATTAAAAAATCTGCAACTAAAACCATTTTACAGGTTTACTTTGATTTGAGTGTGACCCACATAAATACCGTACTAACGGTGCTGTTTAGATTTGTAAACTTTGGTACTTTACAACACCATGGGAGCGCCGCTCTTGCAGCTGTTTCTGCGCTTTGCCGACTTGGGAGATCTTCAAAACGAAGTCTAAAAGACAACGAACTACTTGAAAGCGAATCTGATATGTTTCCTTATCTGCTTGTGAATGAACCTGCTTTAATCAAAGCTGTTTGTCAGCGAATAAATCAGGTTCTTCATGACGTCATTTCATTATACGACATGATGTGGACTGTCAGACGTTGTTGGGTCATGAATCATCAGTCCAACTGGGTGTTGTAGTACATATTTTATGTTTGTTCTTTTATTAGCCACAGGTTTGTGTATATGTGTGATTAGGTGGCAAAAGAAAACTTACAGTAAACATATTAAACATAAAACAAAAGGAAACAAATATTTCTCAGGCATACAAGAATGAAGTAAAGCCACGCACAATCAATAAACCTTTATCAATGGGTGTGGTATGAGAATTATCATTAAATGTATGTGCTTTTTGCTTTTTCGATTCCTAATCGTTTATAATCTTTTGTTAAATGTGTGTGTGTAGGTTTTGCTGTCGCTGTGCCCCGCCGCCGTTTATAAGTCTTATCGGTATTAAAGTATTGAACTCTCGGGCCCCTTGCCGTACGCTCAATCATCCTTGCTGCTGCCGCCACCAATGGTAATTTGCTTCTGCAGCTTGCTGTACTCCTCGGTGAGGCGATCGTACTCGCGATTGATGCTCTCCGCCTGCGACTTGACAGCCTCCTTGTCCTTCTTCTCGCGGTTCAGTTCGGAAGTCAGCTCCTGGACGCGCTCACGCAGCTTGTTGAGCTGTAAGACGATTTTTTGTCAAAGTTGAGTTGAGTGTTTGCTGTGTTTGTGTTTGACTTTGGGGTATTTTGTGGGGGAATGTGTTGGGTTGTGGCTTAGTACACTTGGGATACTCTGGCCGTGAGTCCTTGCACACGTTTCCGCAGGCTGCACAACTGTTTAAAGAGTTTATAAGAGTTTGTTTATGTACTTTCGAGTTGCTTCGAAAGGCCCAACCTTTGTGTGTGGGTAAATCAGAATCAAATGATAGCATTGCCATTGTGTACAGCTGGTAGTAGCCAAAAGAAACTCCAAAGTAATGTGTGTTAGGTTTTGCTCCAAGCTCTCTAAACATGCCAGACCTGGAGTGTGGGAACGGGGCAAAAACTAAGTGACTCACCTCATTCAGTGTGCTGTCCTCGCTGGCCTCCTTGGCCTTATCGGTCTTCTTGTCCTCCATCAGGGAACGAGCAGCAGCGGTGGCGCTCTGGGCCTGCTTCATCGAAGCCTCACTCTGAGCCAGCAGATTGGCCTGAGCAGAAACCAGTGTTACCAAACGACGAATGACCAGAACCAGGAAAATCGCAAATCCAGAGATGTAAAAGTTACGCTGGGCACGGAACAGGCGCATGCTGTGCTGCATCTCCACGTTCAGGTGCACCTCGCCGGTCTGCTCATAGTTCGAATACTTGCGCATCTCACGTATGGCCTCCAGCAAGAACAGCACCAACACACCCATAATCAAGAAGAAATAGATGTGCGCCTGCTGTGCCAACATGGCCAGGAATTTGGACTTGAAGAAGCGATTCCATCTGTAGGGGCTGGCCACGGGCAGCACCAGCAGCAAAACCACTGCAATCTCTGCATAGAGAAAGCCTGCGATCAAAGTCCAGACTAAACTCATTTTTTTTCCAAATGCTAATTTCTGTACACAACAAACTTCGATCGGGTTCGATGATTTTCGTTTTTTCGTATTCGTCTGCAAAGAAATGTTCCTCAAATTAATTTCGAATAGACACGTTCCGCGAGCGTTCTTTGTGTGCGGCTATTTTTAAACGACAGACGGAGTACCTAGCGAGAGCTTACTTTAAATAGCAACAAATAAAATATATCGCGCAAGTGATGAAATATGTATTTTTAATGCAGTCACTGCGCCGGCCACGTCAACTCTGTTTTTTTGTGTACAAAAGTGCCGCTATGTGGGGATGCCAACTTGCTTGCAGCAAGAAAAAGCTACTTTTAGCGGGTTTCTAATAAACAAATATAATATAGAGCACAGGAATATTGTAGACAATGTCGTATGGAGTTTTTAATTGCTAAAATTGGTTTTAGTTGGTAGCAAAAATAAGCTAAATACAATTGAAATAACTACACCTGCTTTGACAACCCTGTTACCAGGTGACAGCTGGGTTGCCAGGGGCAAATGTGCTTTTAACTTTGCGCCATCGATCAAATTTACTTTTATAATTAGTATTATTCCTAGTTACGGTAAAGATGTCCTACGAAAATTGGTTAAACTACTTGACCTCCGCCGAGAAGAACTCGATGATCAGCGGGCGACTGCGCAAGGTGCTCTACAAGTTTCCTGACGGCCAGCAAATGGCCGAAGACTACAGTTTGGACACCGGCATCGTGCTGCGTCGCGCCTGGCGCAAGTGCAAGCAACTGATGGGGCAGCCCGAGTGGGAAGTAGAGCTGGGCGAGGAGCCCCGCCAGCTGAACTGGTCCGGCAACAAAGCCAACGGCGCAGGAGGAGATGTGGACAACACGCACGACGACGATTTTATGCTGCGCGAGAGCAACTCTGCCCCACTGCTAACGAAGCGGGTGACCAAGAAGAATGTCGAGTGGCGCATACGCAACATGCCCTATCCCCTCGAGGTGTACAATGTCAGCGCCAGCCCGGAGCAGCGTTCCATTGTTGTGCGCACCACGAACAAGAAATACTACAAGGTGATTCCAGTGCCCGAGCTGGATCGTTGCGGCACTCCACCGACACAGGCCAACATCTCGGTGCACCATCAGTTCAATACTTTGATCATCACGTACCTGAAACCAGCCATTCTCTGCGAGATGGAGGCCCAAGTGCTGCTCCTGCTGAAGGACGTGGAGACTGAGACGGACATGGATGACCTCTTAAAGGGTCTGATGGCCAAATAAAACCACTAGCATGTAGTACATTAAAAAGTAATAATATTTTAAAATTATGAATCACAAAAAATCGAATCTACTTCTGAAAGCCCTCGGCCAAGCCGGCGTAGCTGGCCAACGATGGAGCCGAGGAGCTGCAGAACAGGCTGTAGTCGAACGAGGGTAGCTCTAGTGGTGCCAATGAAGGCATATCCATATCATCGGATAGCTCCAGACTGCTCCGATATTGATCTTCAAGTCCCGATCGCTGGGGATCACTTCTGGACAGCAACTCCTGTTGGGGCTCGCACTTCCTCGTCGGGGATGTGCTTGTCACCGTTGAACTGAACTTGGCATCGAATTCCTGGACTGTCTTGTCAATGGCCTTTGCAACGGATTGGGCGGAAGACGAGGCGCCACCACCGCTGCCGCCGCCTCCGCTGTTCTCCTGTCGCAGGGGCAGCATTGGGCTGGCCTCTTTGAGTGGCACAAAATCCTTCACCTTAGTCAGCCCGTGCTGCGTTTTGCGCATTTCAATCTGCCGCAGTTTTCGCTGAAAGTCAAGGGTCAGGGTGTCGAGCACTTCCTTCGATTTGGGCAGGGCGACGCGCTTATAGGCGTCCTGCATGTAGATTAGTGACGTTTCCAGAGCCTTGATGGCATCCTCATAGCGATGATTGCGAATGAAACGCTCGGAGCGCCGTTCATGGAAGTGAGCCTGCAACGGGGGTAGTCAAATTTATCAAGTTTTTGTATGGTTTAACATTTCTTTTAACAATTACCAAATTCAGCGGTGCACAATCCATGTTTTCTCTTTTGTTTATATCTGCGCAGTAGCAGATGCGGCTGACTTGGCAACCCTGCCATTGCTATCGATACTTCAGTATATCGATGTGTAAAAATAAAACCACTCAATTGCATTTAAAAAAAAATAATTTATTGCACTAAAAGTGGTTTGCCGGCAGCCTGTTTACCTTCGGTAAGTGCGACTGAAGCGTGTACGAAAACAGGCACGTTCGTTCCCTGGAAAGACAAACATTTGTACACATTTAGAGAAAAATTGGAAATCGGGAAAAATATATTCTCACCTGCATCTTGGCTGATCGAACAAAAGCCTTATTAGAGGTTACTGTAAATATTTGCCGGGCCATGCCAAAGCTAAAGATCTTCAGACTTCGCTCATTCACATTGGCAGTGAATCGTATGGTGGAGAACTCTTCGGGTATTTTGTCCACATCGGGATAGACGGTTATTCGTTTTAGGAAATCGGCGGCACGTTCCCGCTCGCCTGGTCCGCCCACAATCGTCAAGATATTCTGAAAGGCATCGTAGGCCAGTTGGCAGCAGACCAACTGCTTGCCCTGCAGAATCTTCTCGAGCTGTGGCTTCAGTGGCGACGCTCGTTCCCGCTCCGCCTGTTCGGTGAGCAGCGGCTCCTTGAACACCCAATGCGAGTGGCCATTGGTGAGGGCGCTGACATAGGCCAACATGGTGGTGACATCCAGATTCAGCTCATTGGACGCGGTTGCATATTGATCCTCATCACTGTCGGGTGCCTCCAAGGATGCCGTCTGCACGCCCATTTCGAGCAGCTCTTCGTGGAGGGAGTCTTCAATTTTGTTTGAAAAGTAAAATACAATCTGAAATGGAGAGTCTTACAATCTGCCATTTGCTGAGTATTGAAAGCATTTACCTTGGGTCGCTGGAACATGCAGAAGTGCAGCGAACTCGCCTCCAGGTAGTCCTCCGCTTGATCTATCACACTTCGTGCCCCAATGCTGACACAGCCCTTGGCTGCATCTTCCACGGACTTGGAATTTCTCGCTATCACTTTGACCCACTTCAGACCATTGTTGGCCACAATGTCAACGCGCAAGGGACTATCCCGTGATTCCAGGCGAAATACAGCGTTTATATCGACGACTCCTTGTTGCGTTTGCAGCGTTTTAATGAGAAATTCATAATATACAAAGTTGCTGCTGGTTATGTGGTGATCCCTCACAGACTTTGTGCCAATCACCTAAACAGAAACGTGTTCTATAGTGGATTGTTCGGGAAGAATCACTGTTGCTTCATACCTTGTTTAGGAATTTCAGCTCTTGCTGTATTTTTCGCTGCACTTTCGAGACTCCGGGCAAGTCCTCAAACTCAACCAAGGCCTGCTTCAGTTCTTCACCCAACACCACTTTCTTTTGTGCCTCCTCGTACAGCTTTTCATGTTCGTCCATGTCACCTGCAAGGTGGTTGAGTGCAAATTTCAATAAAAGTACGAAATAATTGTTTTTAACTGCCAGCTGTTGACGGAGATGGCAACGATATATCGATGAAAGTGCTTAGCGATGGGAGCAATGACTCAATCGTTAAAACAGTGTAAAATATACAAAAATGAATATTAAAAGGTAAACATTTAGCGGTATTAACATTCTTTGGAAGACGTTTTCATTATCAATATTTAACAATTATTTCAAATACGTTTTTCAACGATAGATATGTGATAACCCTAGTTGGGCTGCAAATCGATATTTTCTGCTGGCAATGGCCGCCTCCGCTTCGTATCGTTCATTTTCTTTTGACCACCGAAACGAAGCACAAGCGTACAGCGTATGGCATGAAGCCGGCAGAGTGATTGTGGAAAATTTTAATCCGTTGGCATCGGTGTCACAATGTGTAAAATACTCTATTAAAACGGCAAAAGGTAGCTATTTAGTGCTTAAGCTAATGATATTCGATGATATTAGGATAGTTATGCACAAAGTATCTCCAGAAATCAGAAATGTCTGTGCTTTGGTCGCAAATTAAGGCGTGCAAAATTAACAAACAAATGCTGCTTACTAGCATCGTTAGGCGACACGAATACACCAACTGTGGCCATGGTTTTCAAAGCAGTACAAAAGTACCGAAATTACTTGCAATATTTGAGCATTTTTTCACTGCGACTGTACCTAACCTCAAATGTACTTTGGACCTTTTTGCAGTTTTGGTCATTGAGTTGGAGTGAAAATTCAACAGCCTCATCATGTATCTGTACAATTTGACGCTGCAGAAGGGAACGGGTGTGACGCACGCCGTCCATGGCAACTTTTCTGGCGGCAAGCAGCAGGAGATACTCCTGTCACGTGGCAAGTCACTGGAGCTGCTGCGACCCGACTCGAACACCGGCAAAGTGCACACGCTGCTCTCGACGGAGATCTTTGGCTGCATACGCGCGCTGATGGCCTTCCGTCTGACGGGCGGAACAAAAGGTTGGTGAATGTAAGAAACAATTATTACCTAAAACTCGTTTAATGTTAGTGAAAGACGCACAAAACCCTATTGAGGCAACAACTTACTGTAGTTTGCCCCAGTAAGACCTTGTTAAACCCGTCTACGTGCGAGAGTAACCCAAAAGACTTGGCGTCGCATTTGCCATAACCCCAAACACATGGTATGGCGAACTGAAACTTCGAGTTACAGCCCCCCAAAACCTAACCTCAAAATGGGGTCAACTTCCGGTTCACAGCTAATTGGTCTTTTATCTTGTTTACTCTCATTAGATTATATCGTGGTTGGCTCTGATTCCGGCCGCATTGTTATACTGGAGTACATGCCCGCCAAGAATGCATTGGAGAAGGTGCATCAGGAGACGTTTGGCAAGTCGGGCTGCCGCCGCATTGTGCCGGGACAGTACTTTGCCATCGATCCCAAGGGTCGTGCCGTGATGATTGGCGCCGTGGAGAAGCAGAAGCTGGCCTACATCATGAATCGCGACACGCAGGCACGCCTCACGATCTCATCTCCGCTGGAGGCACACAAATCCAACACCTTGACCTATCACATGGTCGGTGTGGATGTTGGCTTTGACAATCCCATGTTTGCCTGCCTGGAAATTGACTACGAGGAGTCTGACTTGGATCCAACAGGTAAGCATCTCGCACACTCTATCCCGATATTAGCGCCTTAATTCTCAGGGTTTGTGGATTAACCCACCGTGAACACCTGTCTGTACTTGTCGCCAGATAAATTGTCGATCACTGAACCATTGGTGTTGCTGTAATTGCCTAGCCACACTTCACTGATTTGTGACCCACACTTGAAACTCAACCCAAAGAGAATATTTGAACTAACAATTATTTGTTTTCCCCTTTGCAGGCGACGCTGCACAGCGCACACAGCAAACGCTCACATTCTACGAGCTGGATCTGGGCCTGAACCACGTGGTGCGCAAGTACTCGGAGCCCCTGGAGGAGCATGCCAATTTCCTGGTCTCTGTTCCCGGCGGCAATGATGGACCCTCGGGCGTGCTAATTTGCTCAGAGAACTATCTGACTTACAAGAATCTCGGCGATCAGCATGATATACGTTGCCCCATACCGCGTCGTCGCAACGATCTGGATGATCCGGAGCGTGGCATGATCTTCATTTGCTCGGCCACGCATCGCACCAAGAGCATGTACTTCTTTCTGCTGCAAACCGAGCAGGGCGACATCTTCAAAATCACCCTAGAGACCGACGATGATGTGGTGTCTGAGATCAAGCTCAAATATTTCGATACGGTGCCCCCAGCAGCGGCCATGTGTGTGCTGAAGACGGGCTTCCTGTTTGTCGCCAGCGAATTTGGCAACCAGTAAGTTTTCGAAACTTATTTAGAGCCTCTGTGAACTCTTGCTAATGTTTGCATTCCTCTTTTCTCCCTACAGCTATCTGTATCAGATTGCACACTTGGGCGATGATGATGATGAGCCCGAGTTCAGCTCGGCCATGCCATTGGAGGAGGGTGAGACCTTCTTCTTTGCCCCACGCACCCTGAAGAATCTTGTGCTGGTGGATGAGTTGCCTTCGTTTGCACCGATCATTACCTCCCAGGTGGCTGATTTGGCAAATGAGGATACGCCCCAGTTGTATGTGCTGTGTGGCCGCGGGCCGCGTTCTACTCTGCGCGTGCTGCGACATGGCTTGGAGGTGTCCGAGATGGCCGTCTCGGAGCTACCCGGTAATCCCAATGCCGTTTGGACAGTCAAGAAACGAGCTGATGGTGAGTTTCGCAAATTGAATGTTGCTCTCTCCAGCATTAAGTCGCTTTAGCATGTAAGAATGGGCATCGATCGATCGTTTCTCTAACCCAAAACTGGTGCATTGATGATGATGATATAGAAATACGACTAGCTTTATACACAAAACGATTCCAAACAAGTCCCACAAGTTATCAACCACCAGTTCTCTCTTATTTCAGGCGCTTAAACACAGACGTCAGTCCATCCAACAATTATGTTGTGTGTGTGTCTGTGTGACACTCTATCGATAAAAAGACAAAGAGACAGACCCAGACAGAAATTCGTTCTTGTCGAGTTTTGTCTCTAAAATTGTAGCTTGTCTTTTGTGAAACGATAGGTAAGGCAACATTTACACTGCAGCTCATAAGTCAACAGATACTACGACTACAAACTGCAACAAAACTAGTGTTTAAAACTATATTTAAGTCACAGAACAGGCACATTGAACATGATGCGATACTTATCAACCGTGTTTCAGCTGAATATCCATTGATTATAGCTTGATAAACTGATTATTCAATTGTGTGCGTCTCTTAGCTAGGAATACATTCAACTAGAGACTCCAACCAATACTCATTTAGCAAGTTTTCTCTTTTATTTGGCTTTTTTTTGTAGACGAATTCGATGCCTACATCATTGTGTCCTTCGTGAATGCCACGCTGGTGCTCAGCATTGGTGAGACTGTGGAGGAAGTCACGGACAGTGGGTTCCTCGGCACCACGCCCACACTCTGTTGTGCCGCCCTGGGGGATGATGCCTTGGTGCAGGTCTATCCGGATGGCATACGTCACATACGCTCCGATAAGCGTGTCAATGAGTGGAAGGCGCCCGGCAAGAAATCCATCACCAAATGTGCCGTCAATCAGCGGCAGGTGGTCATCACGTTGTCTGGCAGGGAATTGGTTTACTTTGAAATGGATCCGGTAAGCATTTGATGGATGAAGGAGATATTGTCCACTCTTTGCTCTGATGACAAAAACACGAAAAGAACAATCATGTTGAGACACTCTGTGTCCTGCAGTGCTGAGCTTTAATGACAGAATTCTTTGGGCTTTTCGGCTTGTGTTTACACATATCTAATGATAAATCTCTTTCGTTTGCAGACTGGCGAGCTGAATGAGTACACAGAACGCTCGGAAATGCTGGCAGAGATTATGTGCATGGCTCTGGGCACAGTGCCAGATGGCGAGCAACGTTCCTGGTTCTTGGCCGTTGGCCTGGCGGATAACACTGTGCGAATACTCTCATTGGATCCGAATAACTGCTTGATGCCCTGCTCCATGCAAGCGCTGCCCTCGCCAGCAGAGTCGCTCTGCTTGGTGGAAATGGGACACACGGAGAGCACGACCAGTGCGGGCGCTCAGGACGATGATGCACCGCCACAGCGCAGTGGCGCCAACAAGGGCACAATCTACCTGAATATTGGCCTGAGCAACGGCGTGCTGCTGCGCACGGTACTCGATCCGGTGTCGGGGGATTTGGCGGACACCCGAACGCGCTACCTGGGCTCACGGCCCGTAAAACTGTTTCGCATCAAGATGCAGGGCTCCGAGGCGGTGCTGGCCATGTCCAGTCGCTCCTGGCTGTCGTATTACCATCAGAATCGATTCCATTTGACGCCGCTCTCCTACGAGACACTCGAGTATGCCTCGGGCTTCTCCAGCGAGCAGTGCAGTGAGGGCATTGTGGCAATCTCAACCAACACGCTGCGCATTTTGGCGCTGGAAAAGCTGGGAGCTGTCTTCAATCAAGTGGCATTTCCACTGCAGTTTACGCCGCGCACTTTCGTCATACATCCGGACACGGGGCGCATGCTGATTGCCGAAACGGATCACAATGCCTACACCGAGGACACGAAGAGTGCGCGCAAGGAGCAGATGGCCGAGGAGATGCGCAGTGCCGCGGGCGACGAGGAACGCGAATTGGCACGGGAGATGGCAAACGCGTTCATCAATGAGGTGCTGCCCGAGGATGTTTTCTCGGCCCCGAAGGCTGGATTGGGTCTGTGGGCATCGCAGATACGCTGCCTAGACGCCATGCATGGCCAGACGATGTTCAGTGTGCCGCTGGCCCAGAACGAGGCCATTATGGCGATGGCCATGGTCAAGTTTTCGGTGGCAGCCGATGGTCGCTACTATCTGGCCGTTGGCATTGCCAGGGATCTGCAGTTGAATCCGAGAATATCCCAGGGAGGCTGCCTGGACATCTACAAGATCGATCCCACATGCTCCAGCCTGGAGTTTATGCATCGCACAGAGATTGATGAGATTCCCGGGGCATTGTGTGGCTTTCAGGGTCGCCTGCTGGCCGGTTGTGGCCGCATGCTGCGCATCTACGATCTCGGCAAGAAGAAAATGCTGCGCAAGTGCGAGAACAAACACATTCCCTATCAGATTGTCAACATTCAAGCGATGGGTCATCGTGTCTACGTCTCGGATGTCCAGGAGTCTGTCTTCTTCCTGCGCTATCGACGGGCCGAGAATCAGTTGATCATCTTTGCCGATGACACGCATCCCCGTTGGGTGACGGCCACCACGCTGCTGGACTACGACACCATTGCCATTGCGGACAAGTTTGGCAATTTGAATATTCAGCGGCTGCCGCACTCGGTCACGGATGATGTTGATGAGGATCCCACTGGCACCAAGTCGCTGTGGGATCGTGGCCTGCTCTCGGGTGCATCCCAAAAGTCGGAGAACATTTGCTCCTTCCACGTGGGCGAGATCATCATGTCGCTGCAGAAGGCCACGCTCATACCCGGAGGCTCCGAGGCGCTCATCTACTCGACGCTCAATGGCACTGTCGGCGCCTTTGTGCCGTTCACCAGTCGCGAGGATTACGACTTTTTCCAGCACCTCGAGATGCACATGCGCAACGAGAACCCGCCGCTATGTGGCCGCGATCATCTCAGCTACCGCAGCTCCTACTATCCCGTGAAGAACGTGCTCGATGGCGATCTGTGCGAGCAGTACCTGTCCATTGAGGCGGCCAAGCAGAAGAGCATTGCGGGGGATATGTTCCGCACACCCAATCAGATCTGCAAGAAGCTCGAGGACATACGCACGCGTTATGCCTTCTAAGGTGAGGATTTTGACTTGACGTTTGTTTGAGTTTTTGCTTGGGTTTTATGTGATGAGATAGCAATTACCTTGGGACACCTATGAAATGCCTTGATTAGTGTAACATTTAAAAACTGAAACGAGCAATCTCATGAGCATTCGATTTATTTTAGTTGAATATAAAATATTAATCAAAAATTCTTTCTTTTTGCAGTTGAATGTGGCGTGGCGGACATGTGTCAAATCTTTGGCTGGCACGGAACTCTGTGGCTAAGGTGCGTTTTTATTTGTTTTTAAGTGATTTTTTGAGTGTAGTTTTTCCGTGATGATTTACGATTTTACCTTGGGACACCTATGATAGAACTGTGATTAGTGTAAAGTTATACTTAGCTGATTGAAAGCAACTAAGTTTAGATTTTTGATAACATGAAAACAATTTTTAAAATATTTCTCTGTTTTACTTTGCAGGTTTTGGCTAAAAGAAGCAACGCAAATGCCGCTGAATTCTTGCTGATGATTTTAAGGTAAGAATTGCAAACAATTTGTGTTTATTTCTAATACAATGATGATTTATTTACATATGTTAGACTAATGAAATAATTTGATTGTAAATTAATAACTGATGCCATAATCAATTATTGTATGCAGCAAGCAAAACCAGAAACACTTTTATTAACTTGAAAACTTTCTTACCCATTTACAGCTGCTTCTACCATCAATGAGTCACTGGCAACAAATAAATCTAGCTCTACATTAGGTAAGTTTTAGTTTAAATCAAGCAAATTGAACAGCAACTAATTTGGTACTCACTTCTCTTTGCAGTTTGTAATTTACAACAAAAAATCTACAACCACTAAAACGACTGCCGCTTATTTATATTAGCATTTAAATTCGGTTGCAAATTCCACATTTTGCACACAGAACAACACCAACACAAACACAAATTATACACACTTTAGCATAGAAATGAAATATTTTATGTAAAATAAACAAAAATGAACCAAAAGAATGTATCTTCCTCCCCCCTGTCTGTGCGGGATCTCTGCTTTCTGCACAGTTTATGTTGATGTTCTCGGCTCGGCCTTATTACCATGTGCCTCACATTAGCTGCCCGGCCTTGTTTGCTCTCCATTCTGCACGTTCCCGTTATGGCAACAAGAAATGCCTGCTAAACGCCTCGTTCTCGGTGCTTCCCCTTGTGGTATGTACGCAGCGCAAAATTGTTGTAATTTGTTATGTTTTTTGCAGCAGCAGTTATGCAAATTGTCGCTGCCCGAGAGGCTCAGCCCCAGCCACTTGGTGGTCGATCAGCAGGCCATTCCAGCGTGTGGAGATATCTCGGGGCTCATTCTCATCCTGCTGCCACTGTTGGTTGCATCTGTGCTATGCCATCTGGTTAAACGATTTATTAACTTCATTTCTAGATCATTAGATCGCATAACACGGACATTCATCACTTGGCACTGGCACTGGCACTGGTTTCTTTTTTTGCTGGTGCGGCAGACACGCAAGCGCAATCTCTAGTCAGCATCTACGCATGCAATTCGCGCCGCATGTTGCAGCCAAAAGTGATCTGCAGACGGCGATAAGGACAATCAACGCTCAACGCTTGGCGCAAACACTTGGCACCAGCCAGAAGCAGAGGCAGAGGCACAGCCCTGCTGCAGACACGCCCAGCGCCAGGCAGAGAGAACTGCACGGTAGAGTAGATGCCCGGCTGGCGATAAGACAATGGCCAACACTGGGGCCTTTTGTTATGGGGCGTTCTGGGCCTGCTCCTCGGCGATGGCAATCTGCTGGCCACAGAATCGTGGAAATCAGAATCTTTTAGGCTCCCTCCTCCTGCTCCTCGTAGATGCTTATCAAATGCCTTTGCGTGATAAAATTTCGCATGAACTGTGCTACACGACTACGATGGGTATGGGGATGGCTCCGAGGTCTGGGACTGGCACCCCATGGGTGTTAACGCTGCAACTTTTCAGCTGTCCACGATTTGTGTTTGCGTGTAAGAATTTCTTGCGAGATTTTAATCAGCCTAAAAAGGGGACTGACTGACTGCCCGCCACTGGAGGGACTAGCTGAGGATCTGCTACGGCAGCGACCGACACTTTCGCCGTTGAATTAAATGCTCATTTTCGCTGGCAGTCACGTCTTTTCACAGTTAGCAACTTTATTAAAACTAACGGGCATGGCAAATAATTAAAACGCAGCAAAAGACGGAAGAATTGCAAATTGCTGAGCAAGTAATAAATAGAATCATCAGCAGCCGTGGAGCAGCGGTTGGGAGGGTCCATCCACATCTCCACATCATCATCATCATCATCAGAGGCAACAGCAACCGCAGCAGAAGCAATATTTTAATTCACTTAGCCGCGCTCAGTCGTTGCTTTTGGCCATGTCTTTGGCTGTGGCTGTGGCTGACAGGCTCTGTGCGCTTGAGCCGGTTGCCTGCTGGCAGCTCGACAAACCAATTATAAGGCGTAGATTTTGATGTGCACAGTCGGGTATAACCAATTTGATCAGCAGGCCAAACTCTGCACACAGCTGGCGGGAAAAGGGATGCACAAGTGGGAGCTAAAAATTAGCTAAATTATTCAAGACAACAATGCGGAAATGTACAAATTGAATGCGAAATAAATGCAAATTGAAGTGATTCTTTGGTGTGTTTTATGGCTGGGATTTGTGCTAGATAATTCCCAAAAGAAATCAACTCCTAGGTTGCTTCTTTCCCGCACTGCTAGAGCCTTCCCTGGGTCGCAGTTACCCAACTGATCGCCCCGAATGACACTCACTTCGGGGCAGCAGAGTCCCAGAGTCGAGTCCACAAAGTGCTGATTGCTGTCAGCAAGCTTACCCCCACACTCGTCTCCAGCTCGCTGCTGCCACAAGTTGCTGCTTCGTTCTGGTTGCCCCCGGGGCTATGCGATCTGACCCCATTCAATGTCATTAACTCGGCCCAAGGTCTGTTTGGCTTCTCTTTTTTTTTTCGCATAATTGGCAAGAAAATTATGAAATGCTGCCAGCTTGCAGCTTCATTCTTTTTGTTGTCTACTGAACTCATTTGAACTTCGGGCTTGGCTTTGGCCCTGCCTTTCTCTCTGCAATCTGTGAGTTCTCTGGGCAAAGCCTCAACCGTAAACGTAAACGTTTCAGTCACTTAGTCAGCAATCTGTTGCATCTAATTGTGGCTGCAACAAATTACTCAATTCCAAGAGCCAATAATCGAGATCAAGATCCCAACAGGTTTGACATAATCTTCACTTGAGTTTGTTTTGCACAACATTTGCACGCAGCTCGAAGGATATATCAAGGAAGAGACCAAACAGATAATGATACTGATGCTTGAGCCACACTTCCTGCACCGTTGAAGATCTCGATGATCGTTGAGTAACTCAAGCGACTCTCCTCTTTCCCATGCAAAGCCTGGGAGTAAACACAGTGGAGCCAACACACAGACTGCTGGCCACCAATTTGTGCCACTGTGCAGCGCGCTGTCGAGAGTGCAGTTCGGGCCACAAGATAATAAATGCCCAAGTTGAGGCAGGGAAGTGGCCGCTCTGCCGTCAACAATGAGGCATCAAAACGGGAGCAGCCGCATGCAACATAATTGAAAGCAATTTGTCTGGGGGGGATGGGAGAACTGCTAGCTGTGGAGCTGCCGATCCCCAACTGGTTGTGCAGCAGCACCGGTGTCGAGCATAAACATTGCCTCTGCCATTCACTCATTCGCTTGCCCTGAGTCAGTCACTCACTCAGCCAGTCAGTCAGTCCACACGTGTTGTTTGTCAATGCTCCACATGGGGATCCTCCATTCCAACAGTTGCAGCTGAGCGGAAGTCGCTTAGTTCCGGCAAATAAGAGACGCAACCCCAGCCAGCAGCACCTGAAACAGATTGCTTCAATCTCAGAAGAACTCAGCAGCGCAACTGGGAGGCAGCCGCTGTGTGCCTGTCTTTTGATTTGTATCTCTCTGAGACGTCTTGGTTCCTGCCACGTCCCTTTGCCCGCCACAGTAATTGCCAACAGCTGAGCAGCATGTGCCGCAAGTTGCGCTGCAAGTGCCTCATATGATTCATTCTTTGCTTTCAAACTGAAAGAGTTAGGCATTAATTTCCTATCAATTTCTTCAGCTCTAGCCTCGAATTGATGTGTGCAGAAATTGTTGAGAAAATGTTACACAAAATTCCCTTTTCCCTGCTGTAATTGCAGAAATTTGTGCCTTAAATGATGAGAAATTCCTGCACCCGCTTTAAGTTTCGACCCCAATTGACACACCAATTTGGCAGCAATAAATATATGGAATTGATTTGGTTTTGGCAATCTTTGAACCAACAAATGCAAGGTTGAGGCCGTGACGAGACTCCGCCACGTTTCGCTTCTGGCTTTTTGCTCTCTCTCTCTCTCTCTCTCTCTCTCTCTCTCTGTCTCTCTCCCTGGGTGCTGCTCGTGGGGTCAGTTAGGCTTCGTTGGGCAGCGCAGTGGAGCAATCAGCATCATCCATAGCCACTGCACTCCACAGCAAGGGAAGTCGCCCCTTGCTTGTTTTTGCAAGACAATGAATGAATGAATGAATGGCTGAGTGTATGAATGAGTGCATGTATGAGTGCCTGAGTGTGGCATTGCACAGTTGGTTGATTCGCCACTGGTTTGGCTTCCCTTCTGTATTCCTTTCCCGTACAATGTGGCTTCGGGCATCAATTAACCATTGCAGAACCGCCGCTTAAGTATCATGGAAGATAATGTTGCATTTGTTTTTAATGATTTAACGACCTTTAGAGCTTGAAATGCGTTCCCTTTTTTATAGTTCGCAAGTCTCACCCCGCTGATGTTTGCCTTAAGCTATTTTAATGTAGTTGTTATTGGTTCTGGCAGCTGCCTAACTTGATTTGTGTTGGGTTAGGTTCACATTACATAAACGATTCGCTCTCGCGCTCCTAAACGACTGCTAAAGGTCAGTCTAGGTTTAGTTTTAATTGCAATTGTTTCACCAGTGACTGGCTGTGGGTTGGAGCTAAGCTTTTGCCATGGATGAGCTCGACTTGGCTTGGTTTCATTTATAATCTGAATGCAGTTTGAATGTCATTTGGGCAGTCAGTCATGTACATGCATTTTACATACATTTTACATACATATTTACATACATTTGCGCACAAGGCAAACCAGCGTCTGGCTGTTGGGGGCTTGGGCTATGGCTTCTAATGGGGGTCGTCGCTGTGGGTTTTCTCCAGCTGTCTCGTTGCTCATACGCCTCGTTGTGCGGCCAGGCGTGGCACACAGAGTGAGAGCGAGCTTTGTGTTTGCTTAGCTGTGTGCCAGGCAGCGTTCATCAATGAAGTGCAATTTGCATTGGGGGGCCACACATATGCCACACAGCAAGAACATGTTCATCGGAAATACGTACAGCGCCAGACTGTGGCTGTGGCAGTGGCAGTGGCAGTGCCACACAGCAACCGGACGCACGTGTTCATTTTCGTTTGGCGCAAGAGAACGCAAAACTCTAAAAGCGAACCCAGCACAGCCGATAAACAGCCGCAACAGCAGCAACAGCAGCTGTATGGACAGAATCTTTATAGAGGACAAACGGAAGACGAACGAAACGACGACCGACAACCGACGACTGCGGAAATTATTCATTCAAACTGCTTGACTGCGTCTGCTGCTGCTGCGCTGCTGCTGCTTGCTGGCGCTGCTTGCTGGCTGCTGCTGCTGCGCTGCTTCTACCGTTTGCTGCTGCTTGCTGGCTGCTGCTTGTTGCTGCTGCTGCTGCTTGCTGGCTGCTGCTGCTGCGCTGCTTCTACCGTTTGCTGCTGCTTGCTGGCGCTGCTTGCTGGCTGCTTGCTGGCTGCTGCTGCTGCGCTGCTTCTACCGTTTGCTGCTGTTTGCTGGCTGCTGCTTGTCGCTGCTGCTTGCTGGCTGCTGC